AATAATGTTTGAAAAAACTAACCTCGCATCACATGAATCATCGCACATTGAAGGACTATTTTCTCATATATCAGTCCGCCGCTGCCAACCTTTCTATCAGGAAGTACAACTCACTGACATAAATCGTTCAAATGCAAGGTTGGTTTTACTTCTAAAATTATTCTATCGACACACACATTCACTCTGGCATTGTAATTGTTTTGCCTCAGGTGCTTTGTGGAGTGGGTAAGACTGTTTTTAGGGACAGGATAACTATGGCCATTGACATGCACTAGCCTAGCACCAGCGACCTCTGCAAATACAAGGACTGGATGGAATATTTAAAAAGTGTCTCCACACATTTCCAACACTCTGGCTCACCAAAAAATTAAGCCCTCAGTCCAAAATTCCGAACCGTCCTTTTCAAATGTTTGTATTAACCTGCGCTACATGATGCTAGTGTTTTGGTATTCTATTGTGTGCGTAAATAATTCCTTTTCCTAGTATGGACCTGGCTCCAAATTCTCTAATGGCTATCATGATGATCTTTATTTGACTGGAGCTGAATGCATCATTCTTTATACATGACACATTTGTGAGAGAAATATAAAAAAAAACATTGAAATGAATGAAGTATGCTTGCTACAACTGAAAAAAATACACTTCTCTTTGGTATTTTTATATGGATGGGATTCTTTTGCTCTAAATGACTGTGCTTTTCTGCCCAGCTGCACCGTGGAAGATTTCTATATCCGCTAATACCGTTGTACAGAGCATGCCTTCCTCAGTACCTCCTCTTCCTCTGTTATGTTTACTAAACCGCTGAGCCAGAGTCCATTTGAACATTTGCTGGTTTTCACTCCCTGAGCTGTCCGGACTGACACCGATCATAACGCTCTTCACTACTTCGACCTTCAATGAAAACACCATGTGAAAATCTGCTGGACTTCACCGACCCTTCAAACATCATCCATCAGAGAGCCACTTGGAGCTATACTGGCTTTATATATGCCCTTATCTATAGCCCAGCAGTGCCCTGTGTTTATAACCAGTGCTCCCATTGCTGATATTGCTAATGGACTCTCACTATTGACCTCTATGAATATAGCGGAGCACAGTATATGCTCTATTCTATTTTTAAGCAGCTATGAATAGATACTCATCTTTCAGGAGCTAGAGGCACTGGCTCTTTCATACCCAGAGGACCTGCCTTTGCTTCAAAACAATAAGATGTCAGAAAATTTCAGTTCAATCAAATGTAGTGTAGAATGAAAAGAAAAACTGAAATTCCATAGAATTATACATACGGTGCATAATTGTACTGTTTGTCTCGATGGAGATATTGTTGATTTGCTTGGAATGTTCCACAATATTGCAAGCAGGTGACACCACCAGCATGCTTTGTTACAGGTTACAGGTCAGATCTGTAGAGAGGTGAGCCCATTCACAGTAAGAATGCATATTATTCAAGGTATTTTTTGAGAATTAAAAACAACTGCAATTGAATAAAAGCAAGATTTAAGTTTAATGTCAGGCAATGCAATAAAATCTCTCTGCTAAGGCAAGCAAGTGACAGACCCTCCACCAGAAAAGTTACATTGTGTATCTTTAAAATAACATCTTTACTCTCTTTCTTCTATTCCTTTCTGTTATGTTATGTGATGTGTTTTATGATGGATGCCCTTCCTAAAAGTTCTCATGAAGTTTTTCAAGTTTGGAACAGTCACAAGGAGAACACTGGATTGTTACTCCTCAAATGGACAGACAAATTACTTAATTATCATAGTTTTTAAAAAAAACTTAATGGAGATGTACAAGGATTTTCTATTGCAATGGCTGTACTCGTTTGTACTCTTCCAATGCTGCACTTAGCATTCATAAACCAAGAGCCCCCATTACGCTGATTATATCTCCTCCTTCACCATGTTAGCAGGATCATTCAGGTTGTCTCGGGGCTGTCGATGTTGTCTGCAGATAACAGTGTGGTTAAGATGTTTAGGATACTGAGCGTTCAAAGCAGAGCCATTGGAGCTGGTTGGCTGAGAGTCAACAGGAGAGAGAGATGGCTTTAATTCCCAGTGGTGTCCTTTCAACAAATGACTTCTACCAGTGGCTGTAATGGAAGTTGAATGTAGTGCACTAGCGGCCGTATGTGTATTGGAAAAAGCTTTATTGCAAACGGAGGACCAGCGGGTTTCTAATTTGAGTCCAGCAAAAGAGAAATGGTGAAAGGAGCAGCGGGGAGAGGTGGAGAAGAGGTTGAAACAGGAGCACGGGCCACTAACACGAGAAGGTCGAAAGGCAAAGTGATCTAAGCCATTGGAGAAAACTGTGAAAAGAATAAGGCAAGAGCAGACCCACAGTGGCACCGAGGGATTATTGCAACAAGAGCTGCAAAATAGAAGGCAGATTTTTTTCATTCAATTTAAAATGAGTTCAAGAAGCTTCAGCACTGGGCTATAAACATAAAACTAAAACTGGTATAACTTTGGTATTGTTAAAAGTGCACCCTGAAACTTTTCTGATTCAGAGTCCAATATGTGTTTGTCTTTACCATAGACTATATTTATAAATGGACATAGCTAACGGGCTAGCCGCTTCCTTTCAATAGCAAGTGAACATGGGGGCGCTTCCAGTTCCACTGACTCTGGTTCCAACATGCCCAGAGGACCTATCTATGCTTCAAAACAAAAACATGTCAGAAAATTTCAATTCAGTCAAATACAGTGTAGATTAAAAAGAAAGGTTGAAACAACACAGAATTATACATACTGTCTATAATGTAATAATGTCACTTTTCTGGGTCTGTCACCTGCTTGTCTCTATAGAGATGTTATTGCTTTGTATGTTACAGAGCATGGCATTAATCATCTATCTCCACTGTAAATGCTAGCTCCTCTTCACAAATTTGACCTGTAAATAGGCCTGATAGTGACACTAACTGGTCTCTGTGGAGTTAGAAAAGTGTAATACTCTGGAAGATCATAGTGTGGAATATTCTAAGGAATAGCATCTCCCCTGAGACAAGCAGCGATGGGAAGAATACTTTTAAAATGTATATAGTTACAAAATACTCAATACCTGCATTAAAATGTATTCTTAACATGTTCTGATACATAGTCCAATCAGAGTACTGTATTGTGAATGCTTCGAATACTTTTACATTGAGCTGCATTTACAATATAGCAACATATCTTAATATTTGTTTCACAGTTATGCATTTCCTATCACTAACTAGAGAAGAAAAAAATCTGTGTTTCTGTTTTTATCACTGATTCTGTGCAGTTTGAAGCCTAAGTTGTGTGATCAAGTACTCTGATTTTAGAAAAGTAACTGTATACTGAATACCACCAAAATTAAAGTGCAACTGTACCAGAAATTAGTATTCAGAATATGTATTCTTCATGTATTCAGTTACTTCCCAACACTGGAGACAAGAAAGTGGCAATCAGTATGCAACAGTGGTCTTTAGATGAAAAGAAAACATTAACCTTGACTTGATTTTAGATGAGTTTTAAATTAATGACATAAAGTAGTAGTAGTAGTAGCAGTGTGACTCACTGTATTCCCACCTCCGTATCACTTTAAAACCCTAATGAGTGAAGCCTCAGGTGCTGCATAGACTTAAAAGTTAAGTATAGACTGTGAAATACAATGAAGGCTTTGTTGTGATTTTTTTTTTTTTTTTTTTTTCCACAAGAACCAAGTTTACCTGGGCCCACCTGTTCCCACAGGACCCAGTCAGACTGAGAATAAAGAGAAGATGTGAAGGAGGAGCCAGATGAAAAGGCCAGTTGTGACAAGCCAAAGGAAGGGAGAGAGACAGTGGAGTCGACAAACATGAATAGGAGCTGATCAAGCTTGTATTTTGACAGTTAGCTGTGCCTAAATCTTACGCTGTTTGTTGCTGTACATTAGGAAAAGCTGTTAAAATGAAACCACATATTTGAATACATTAGCATCTTTCCCCACTGTGCAAATATCAATGGGATTGTATACTGCTACCCCTGAAGTGGAAGCCATTGAATTGTCAGAGCAAACTAGAAACGCAGGCGACTCATCAGGGTAGATCCTCTTATTGTCAGAGAAGCGCGCTGAAAAGGTGCAAATCTCTTTTACTATTCAGCCTTTAGAAAACAAACCAATAGATGATATTTTTCTATGACTCCCTCACAAAGCCTTGCTCTCACCCGCCATATACCGATACCCATTAATCATGAGCTCTCTTGTATTGTCAGCTCAGTACCCCCTCCCTCACCTCCCAAGCCCTCCCTCTCCCCAGATGCCTCCCTCCTCCCATTTTCAGCCTGTCACTTAACAAGCTGTGGCACCATGACAGTGACGTGTGCCGCTGACTGATGCCCGGCTACAGTTCTTATTGGAAAGGTATTGAAATGCACCAGCACAAGGAAGATAGCCACCAGGCGTGTCACGATAACACAATATTGAAGTGCAATATATTGCTGAAAAAAGGTATGATGTACAAAAATACTGAAACAACTTAATGGCACTGACTACGACAAAAGTCCTAAAGATAGATTATCCAGAAATAACTATTATAAATGTACAATATTGCTTAAGGGGGAGCATTATGCAAAATAGATTTTGTTGAGCTTTCTACCATGTTATAATGCTCTCTCATCAAAAATATGACTGAAGAGGTTTTGGATGTCAACCATGCACGTTTCAGTAATTTATCGATCTCTCTTGAGCTCTATAAGAACTCTCCTTACTGTTAGCTGTACAGTTTTGTTCAATGCTCAGACCACAACCCTACCTCACCCATTCTCCCACATGGCAATTCTCCAAAAGTATACAAAAACATGATACAAACAACTTGACAAACCTGATTCAATGTGCAGTAGTTTCATTAGTGGGATGCATGCTGATTGTGTTGTGATAGCACCCCGAGGAGCAAAGGGAGGAGAGAGACTGAAAGCGTTAGAAATGAAAGTGAAACTTATGAAACAGTTAATATGTTGCTTTCAGCAGAAGCATTTTCAAAACAATAAACGGTAACATGGTAATCTATACATGTTGTGTTAATAGTTAATACTCCATAGAAGTAAAATATTAGCCTGATTCATCAGCCGGTTTAACTTCGTGGAAACCTCTGACCTCACAGAATTAGGATTTGTTTGCTTGATGGTAGGTGGGTATTTTTTTATTTAACCAGTTGCTGCTATTTGGTCATGATGTATGTAATGCGCCAAATCCTATAGGAAGAAGGGCAATAACGTCTTTCTCCTTGATAAAATTCTAATTCAAATTCAACATTCTCTTTGTTCTGGCTTTAAATCCTCCATCTCGGGAATCGTTGCCAACACAGAATGTCTGTCTTCGTCTACATCCATCTTGACCTCTTTGTTTACTGTTGTGCTGTACCACAAAAGGGACCCAGACAGGCGCTTGAGTCCGACATCATGGCTTCACAGCTCTTCACTGATTGGCCGGTGCACAGTTTACAACTTCTTGCAAACCGTCTAGTGTATTCTGATTCCTGACCTAGTCGCTGGAGAGAAATGAAACTGAGCGGAGGCACTAGATGGCGCCAGCCTGCCGAGTAAAATATCCCCTCTTTAAAGAAGTTATGTCGTAGAAGACTTTATTCTATCTTCAGCTCAGATCTGATACTAACTACATATTACTCCCCAGTCTATCCATCTATCAGTTATTAAAAAAAAAAGCCAATTTAGTAATTATTGTAATAACCACAAGATGGTATTTTTGAAGCTTTTTATGACACAGCAGAAAAATACAGCATCCTATTCAATTAGTGGAACTGTTTGTGTTAGGCCCCCAGTTGACAGTAAGATTTAGTGTAGCATGCAGTCACCTTTGTACTGTGACCAAAGCTGTTTTGGTGCTAATGTTGTGTGGATAGTGAAAAGTGATGAGTGGATGTTTCTGTCTCTTCAGGCTCGCTCTCCCTCAGCGTGTTCCTGGTCTCTTTAGCGCTCACGGTGTGTGCTGTGTGGCTGGTGGCTCTCTGTGGCGTCTGCGGCTGGTGTCAACGCAAACTGGTGAGTACACAAACAAACACAACACACAAGCCAAAGGTGCGTACTGTATTGATCGCTTTGCTGAGAGGAGGGCTGGAGACAACAACAATAACATGCTAATGTAAAGAAGGCTAACCTGAAAACAGAGTATGTTTGTAAAATGCAGGTCGTGAGTGTTATGGCTGGGCACTATTAACAATAACTATTAGGGTATAAACAACACAGCAACTTGAAACTGACAATTAGTTTTAAACATCCCATATTACTTCACTTTCTGATCATTGTTATAATGTTCAAACACATACCTGGAATTGTGTTTTGTTTTATTCACACAGACACAAATCCTACACATTTGGGCTGAGTTCTTTTCTCAAACTGAAAACACTGCATGATATCATCAAGGCGAAAATTTGCATTTTTAGCTTTGGAGATGAGACATACTGTAGAAAAATTACTCAAACATGTGTGAATGAAACAAAACACAACTCCAGATATTTTTTGATGAGGTAACAACATTATAACATAGCTATAAGCTTGCAAGAGTCAAAGTTACATAATATAGGACATTTCTTTCTATGTCAGCATAACTAAATTATATAAATAAATGTTAACACCTACAGATTTTAACTTGTAGCTTATAATTTTGTTCAATTCGTCTTTAACACGTGCACTATGTAACTTTTCTAGTGGATGCTACTAGATTGTCTCTACGGAGAGGTCATTGCTTTGCCTAGAATGTTCTACAGTATGGCATTATTTCCTGTATTTCATTGACGACAAACAGATGGTGACACCAAATTAAGTTCCAGGTCAGATCTGTGGAATGGTGACCCTACTCATTACACAAGTGTATGTATTACAAGGTATTTTAAATTAATAAAACCTCTCATGATTAAATTAATAATAGACATATTTAATACTATACTGTGAAACACTCCAGGCAAAGCAGTAACATCTCCATGGAGATAAGAATACAGTAGATACACACTCCAGAAAAGTTGCGTAGTGCACCTTTAATATTCCGTTAGTATTAAGAAAAATTGAACAGCACTGCGCCTTACCCCAGGCACAGGCGTACTGCAAAAGCTAAGATATGCTCCTTGTAGCTTCTCTTTTAGATAAGGTATTCTATGTATTTTTGAGTTATACTTCTGGCCTTGTAATCTTTATTGAACCTTTTTTCGCTGATAGCACATTAATTTAACTCATCTATCACAGAGCTACTGGGGGACCCTATTACGAACAGCCGGACCATGCCCACATTCAGAGAGGCTCAGTATTGCGTATGCTCTGTTTTGGTGAGGAAAAATCTATCCATCATGCCACACCAAGTCCAGACAGAGTGATCCTACACCTCCATGCTGTGTGGCAATAGCACTAATCCTCCCTGTACCACTGTGCCGCCACTGGGTTGAACCTCATTCAAACTCAGATAATAACTATGATTAACTGGGTTGTTTCTGTTCTTCGTACTAATAGTTTAAGTGTTCATACATTCTGTTCTTAAAGGGCCCATTTTGTGCAATTTTTTGATTAGTGTTATAATTAAATGTTAAAATATAATTGTTCCTCATCAGAAACATATATGGATTTTGTTTTGTTATCTTCACACATGTTAAACAAACAAATTATGCACATTTAGACTTGGTTCTTCACTCAAACAGAAAACACTCCACCTTATGATGTCATGTGGTAATACAAGCGCTCCACTGTGTTTTTTAACTCCTTACATCTTCACTACAATCATTTAGGTAATTTCAGTCCTGGAAATGCCAACTACTGAATTAAAAGTAAAAGGTAGCTGTTGACTTCAAACTTGAAAACTACAACTTCACAACATCACAAGGTGGAACAGAACATTTTGAGCTTTGGAGATGCAGAGAGAGTAATAATAAAGGAATACTCAAACATGCGAGAATGAAACAAAACACAACTCCATGCATGTTTTGATGCATTATAACATGGCAAAAAGTTAGCAAGAGTCAATTCTGCATAATATAGAGACCACTGTGGGACAATTCCCAATGTTTTCATATCTTATCTTCTCATTTTTATGAATTTGAAGATTAATGCACTTTTTTTCTTTTCCCCAGCATATGGTATGATGTTTTTTTTTTTTATATAGTGACAGTGTCAAAGGGAAAATGCTGCTACCAGGGTTTTCACGGGTTTAACCAAATGATTCCTTTGTAATTTGAAGGATTCCCCATTCAAAAGAAATTATATTTTGATTTGAATTGCATTACTCATCCACTTACAGGTTCTCATAAAAAAAAAAAAAAATCTAAAATCAACCAATTTTACACTGCAGCTTCACACTATTACATATTTATTCTCTCTCACTCTCCCTCCCTTCATCCAGATTTTTTGTAGTAGTATAGTCATGAATTGTAAAGACTGCCACTGTTTTGTATGAGTCATGGTCACAAAGCAGAAACGTTGATATGTTGAAAGCAGAAGTTGATATTTTTGAACATTTTTTCTGAGTTAGATATATTCAGTAACATCTCAGATACTAAGCTGCAGTGGCTGTGTTTATGTACACACCAGAAAATCTGATCATTATGTGATTAAAATATCAGATTATTCAAATGCCATATAAACACAGATCTGACGTGTAACCAGTCTAGTTTGGTCTGTGAAGATAGAAATGTTTAATATCAGAATGTGAATCATACTGTGAATCATTCCAGACAAAGCAATAAGATTTAATGGTGAAAAGCATTTGAAAGATCCTCCATCAGAAAAGTTATACAATACACCTTTAACTGACATGTGTCTCCCAGGTGTTTTTGACAATCAGATTTGTTTTTGTGCATGTAAATTACTGTGTTATGTGATTATTCTAGTCATCTGATTTCCACAGTCCATGTAAAGGTGTACCACTGTTAGTGCCACTTCTGTCCCACTATCCTGTCTATCAGCATTAGACCCGTGTATTAATGAAGATGTATTATAGCAGTATAAAAACTCGGCGGGCAGTGTCTGGACTCATTCTTTCACTGGGCTCTGAATCGGCTGGTACATTATAGCTCTCGGTACAGTGTCAGAATCAGTGCAGTCATTGAGGAGGAACAGAGCACAAAGCTGTCGGCCTGACCTCTGGTAGAGGGCATGTCATTGTGATTATGTGCTATGAAATGTGATTGATTAAAGGGAGGGACCCAGTCATTAGACAGACAGTGCAGCTCTGCCCAGTCCCACTCCACTCCACTGACTTCTCTACATCTGCATGCCTTTAAAGATAATTGATTGCGATTCATCTTGAGCTTGTAAGAACAGAGCTCACCTGTTTCAAGTCAATGTCCACACCGACTCTCTCTGGTCTTTGTTGCTTTGGAATTTTTTGGAACTCATGAAAAGACGGTGTTCTTTTAAGCAGTAATAGCTAAGGTTATGCAATATATAACAATCACACTGAAATAGGTTTGAGTTAGTGCAGTTATGAAATCACAAAGGCTGCAATTATTTAGATAATAGAATGTCCTCAGTTCAGATTTCAGTCTTGCAAATGTTAATACTCCAGAAATGTTTATAGTGTGTACTCAAAAATGAATCATATAATATTTTCTCAGTTCACAGGTGAAAGTACTACAAAATAATAAGAAAGAAAAAAGATAAAGATATCAATGATTTAAAAAAAGAAAAAGAAAGGTTTACTCATTCTTATGTTTGCTAGTACTATAACTACTGTTTTAACATTGTAGTTCTATAACTGCTTTTACTGATACAAGTACTAGTGATACTATCATTTCAACCAAAACACAACCTACAGCTTTTAGCTCTTGTTGTGGATACTCCCAGTGGATGTGGATGTCATTGCTTTAGAACAGGGGTCTCCAACGTGTAGCTCGGGAGCTCCACCCCGTTCCAAGTAGCTCACCAAGGGATTTCTGAATTGTACATATTGCGCTGAATAACTCAGATTGGCTGATTAAATGTCTATTTCCTTTGTAAATGTATCATTTTGTTGCCTGACTTTGTGCTCTGATTACTGGATAATGGGTTATGTTTTATAGGCATCTAACTGCACCACATCCAATGCCTCTTAAATTTACAAAATTTCTGGTGACCGCTAAAATTAGTACCTCTCTGGCACTTTTTACAAAAAGTAGCTCACAGGAGAAAAAAGGTTGGAGACCCTTGCTTTAAAATGTTCCACAGTATGGCTCCCTGGAGACAACAGGTGGTGATGCCATATTAAAAAGTTCCAGGTCAAATCTGTGGAATGGTGACTCCACTCATGGTGTGTGTATTACAAGGTATTTTTGACTAATAAAAACTCATAATAAAATGAAAAATAGACACATTTAATTCTGTGGAAATCTCCAGGCAAAGCAGTAATATCTCCATGGAGACAAGAAGGCAGCAAACACACACTCCAGAAAAGTTGCATAGTGCACCTCTAATGTTCAATTAGTATTAAGAAAAATTGAACACCACTCTACCTTACCCCAGGCATAGGCAAACTGTGAAAACTAAGATATGCTCCTTGTAGCCTCTCATAGATAAAGAATTCTGCATATTTTTGAGTTAAACTTCTTGCAAATGTTAATGCTCCTGGAGATGTTTAGATGTAAATAACTTTGTTGAATCTTACAAATGTACTCAAGTAAAGTAATTATTTATGCAAGTACATCTGTAGTTACTTTCCACCACCAGTCTTTGGGGTGCAGATGGGAATATTCTGTCCTGCGCCATATGGCCTGACACATGCGTTAGCCGAAGATTACTCATAGATACCATTTCAACATATACACAGTACATGAGCAGGTGCTAAATGAACTGTGCCGATATAGTACCCGCACAGGCCCATGTATTGTTTGGCTCACTGGAACATCCTGTTGTATTTGATATTCCACTTTAAAGTAAATGGAGCGGTGAATGACTGTGAGCTTCCCGCTGTGGGTGGAGGTAGTTTCAGCACCTTGGAGAGCTCCCCCAGGTCTCCTCTGCTGCAAATGGATCTCATTCGTACCACAGTGACAGGAACAAGCAGCCAACACAAGTGCGGGAGTGGC